AAATTGGAAAGAAAAAATGGTTTGGGGTTCTCAACCCAAAATCAAATGTTCCATTTGATTTTTGAGCTTTCTAAGATATTTTAATTGCCATTGAAATTTAAAACCAAAACATTATTGTAAATCTGAAATAACAAATATTTCATTTTGAGTATGTCAGAACAAAACATTTAGATTTTTAAAAACTTTTTTGTGCTTACTTTCTGACTGAAGCTTCTTTACCAAACTATGAAGGAACCCATAAGAAGTTGTAATTGATCCAAATCAGTGAAAAAATATTCCCCCCCCCAAATTTCCCCAAGATGTGACTGGATCCTGGGCATAAACCTTCAGTTTTTGGTGGGACTTCAGAATCTTGTTTCTGCCTCCTCAATGTTATCATGTCAGATCTGAGCAAGATCCGGTCTGTTTCAGTCTGCTGAGCGAGATCCAGTCTGCTACCCTAGAGGAGTTTCAAGGAAAATTCAAGGAGGTGCTGGAAATGCTTTTTGGTAATGGTGAGCACATCTACACATGTGCCCGACTATACAGTTGTTACTGCACAGTCATTTAGTATTTGCTAAAGCAGAGCCTGGCCAGCCACTGGAGCATGGTGCCCTGTGCGCTGCTGCCCTGTGTGCTGCACTGCTTTTATTTAGCAAGGGTTTTTTTGATACTGGGATTTCCAAATATGCAGTGCAGAGAAAAAAATCATGTGCACAGGGTGTATTTTGTGGCACCTCAGAAGCTTTTGAGGCACTGCAAAGTGCATGTGCATGCTTTTGTGGATGTGCCTAATGGTGCATACCACTACCACTTTAAAAGCAGCAGCCTTTTAGCCTTATTGGGCACATCCACATGAGCATGCACTTGCGCTTTGTGGCACCTCAAAGACTTTTGAGGTGCCACAAAATGTACCCCAGGAATCTAAGTTGGTGCAGTGCAGAGCCAAATATAAACTGTGGGAAAAACCTGGTATCAAAAATAAGTGCACCAAGAAAATGGTGTGGTGCACGTGGCAGCAGTGTGTACCACCTGAAACCAGAGGCTGGCTGGCCAGAGCCACACTCCAGCTGTCGGCCAGGATTCGCGTACCCAGATCGCCGCTGCTGCAGCCTCAGGAGCCCCCCAGGACTCCAAGGCTGCTGGGGCCAGCGCCTAGTCCCTTACCCAGCTCGGGGCAATTTGCCCTACACCAGAACATGCATACAGGGGCATTCCCTGAGGACAACTAGCAGTAGCACACACATGTGCCACTGCTATTTGTCCCTGGGGAAATGAACATGTGCACACATCTGGACATACCCACTGAGGTGTTTCTTTCCCTTCTCTGTTACCTTTAAGTACATTTTCATTGTTGGGATTTTTATCTAAAGGACAATCAAGAAGCCAAAAAAGGAAACAGAGATCGAAGGGACCAAAATGGAAATCACCTTCACAAAACTGCTGAAAAAACAACTCCACAGGCTCTTGACTGATTCATGCATTTTCTGGGGCCCAGTGTAACCCTTGAATTGGATAGTCAGGCACAGCCCAGCCACTCTGTAGAAGCTAGCCTGGGGAGTGTGGAGCTAGGCTAAAATAATATTTGGACAGCAACCAGCCAGACTCTCTGAGCAACATAGATGATCACAGCCTATGGTCTGTGGGAAGCACTGGTTAGGAGGCCAATGGGGAGGCTGAGGCCATAGGAGAACGACATGTATGCAAGGGTGGCTGCACTGATCCTGTGCAGGTGGCAGCTGCAGGTGCTGGCCCTATCATACTGCCATTACCAATGGGTGCATCATCTGCACACACCACCCCATAAGTGTGATGCACCATAGAATACTGTGATTAGCAGGAATCTGGGTTTTCTGTTCACCACAGAAAAATGCTGTAAAATGTGGATTTTCTCATTTTCAGGAGAAAAACAGATTTTCTCCTTTGAAGGAGAAAAGCATGGGAAACTCTGGCAGAGTTTCAGCCTGCAAGGGGCTAGGGAGAGCAGGAGGAATGTGATCAGGTAGGGGGTGCCACGTGCATGTGTGCACACACATGCTCATGGCAGCAAGGCAGCATGAGAACAGCTCCTTTAGCTCCCTGCAGGTAAGTCTGTGGGGTGGGGGGAAGATTGAGGCTCCCATAGTAAGGGAGGGAGGGAGTTGGGCAGGGCTGGGGCTGGGGACACTGCCCAGCCAGGACAGTGCGTGGGGCCTGGGGCTTCGGGCTGCTATACACAGCTGCAGGGCCCATGTGGGGAGCAGGACGGAGCCGCAGGTGGCTAATTCAGGTTGCGGGGGGGCTTGTTCCCCGTCACTGTGTGCGCTCCTGGGAGGAGGAGGAGTGGGGGGGCATGTGTCCCCCAGTTTTGTGTGTGGGGTGGGGGTGGATGCAGGTGGCATACTGTGAGCTCGGGGTGGGTGGGAGGCTCAATGCTCCTGCTGAGAGCCCCATACCACCATGGCAGCAGGGAGCACAACTCCACGCTGTCACCCCCTCTGTTGCCAGGTGGGCAGGGGGTGCGTTACCCTGGCGGAACAAGGCTCCCAGTGGCAGAATCAAGTCTCCCCACCCTGTCCTGCCTTGCTGCTCTGGGTCTGATGTGCTGGGCCACAGGGACAGCAACAGGGCCGGGAGTCCCAAACTACTCTCCCCTCCCCTATGGGCTCTGCTCCAGTCATGCCACCCATGGGGGAGGGGAGCTGGGCTCCACACTCTGCTCAGTTGCAGCAGCTGTCACCTCCCACAGGTGGCAGCTGGGGCTCAGGTGCTGCTGGGGGGGGGGTGAGGAAGGGAGATGCGGACTTGGGTCCCTAGCCTCATAGCCCTGGCAGCAGGGGGCCCCCTCCTGTAGGGCTGGGGTGGGGCAGAGGGCTTTGCGGGGGGAGTAAGGGGCACCAGCAGGGATGGGTGGCTGTGGGTCCTGAGTGAAGGACACTAGCAGGGCCAGGGGGCTGTGGGTGGGGAGTAAGGGCACCAGTGGGGCTGGGGGACTGTGGCTTGGGAGTGAGGGGCAATGGCATGGAGCAGGGCACCAGCATATCAGGGCTGCTCAACGTCACAGAGCAGCGAGGGGGACAGCTGCCACTGGACCTGCCTCCTGGTGAGTGAAAGGGGCAGGGGGAGCTTGTGATTTTCCATGAAAAAACCCCCAGATCAAATGCCAATATTTATAGGTATTTAGAATATTTTTATTATAGTGATTGTTGCACTGTAGGGTTCCAAATTGCTTAAAAACTTTAATTATATCAATAAAACATTGTGTTCAACAGATGCCTATATATATATAATGGCATTTCATTTTAATTACAAAAAAAAAATGAAGATTTTGGGGTTTTAATCAGAGATTTTTATCAGAAAATGAACAGTTTTTAAGCAGAAAAAACCAGGATTCCAGGTGATTAGGTACCAGAAACCTGGGCACATTCATATTCATACAGTGAAAGGGACATGGTACCTTTACAAGTGAACTACGTGTGCAGCTTTTCAATTAAATGATTTATGACATCCTTCACTACTCACCTTCTTGCCTAGAAGATATGATAGGGCAGAAGTGGGATGGTATAAGTGGCATATTGGAGAGTAGGTGTGGGCCTGGGGACTCAGGAAGACTAAGTAAATCTGGTAGAGTCTAGAGGGAGGGTGTGTTAGTGGAACACACATGGACACAAGGGGAGCAGAAGACAGTGCAGGTCATGTGCAGCCATATTGTTAGTGTACTAGTCTCTTGGTGAACTTTATCTTCCTCCCTCCTATATGCAATATGAATATACAGCAGTGGGACTCAGACCTATTGGCTAACATGGCTGGCATTACTCCATGGTCACAGGGAAACAGGGCATGACATCCATGCAGGGCTTCTGTGGTTTGAGATGCCATGCTTTGGAGCAGAAAGAATGCCTAATGAGTATTTGCTTCTGAGAACTGGGCCTTTTTAATGTCTTGTAAATTGGGCATCCAAGAATTCAGGCATGCAGGACTGCTCAGTACCACAGAAAATACAGGCTCAAGCAACTTACCCTGGTTGGACATGACATCTGTGGAAGAGCCATTAATTGAGCTAAGAACTCCAGGCTTTAATTAAAAGGCTGTCTAATCTGAACTCTGAGCAGGGGAATCAGTGGACTATGGTCTTAAATTTTTGCAGCTAACTTTCTGAAGATGACTAGGCAACCACATATTTCCAGTTCTCTGAGACATCTAGATATCTTTTTGAGAAACAGGTCAGCAGTCTCTCTCTGTTTTAGAAATGTTGAAGTAAATGCTAAACAAATAAAGGTATTGCTGCTAATCTTGTGTTTCTCTCTTGCCTTAACATAGGAGGCATCCCTATAAACAATGGCTAGTAATGGTGTGACCCTTATATGTTATTGAAGTGCATAAGTTCCCCTGGAGAAGTACAAAATGGTGATGCAAGTCCTCACGTAAAATGTCTAATTCCCAAAACAATGTCTTGAATTCAGTGCTATATCAGCATGTGGTTTTGCCCTGGCAGTAGTTCCATCCTACACAGCCTAAGACACTGTTGCGACCACGGCAACTACTTTGCATCCTGTTATATTTTTCCATACAGAAAAAAAGAAAAGTTCCCTGAACTGAATTTGCAGGACCTCTGCAGACAGTCCTTGTGTGTTTAGACATGCTAATTCCTAGGAAGAGTGCTTAGTAAGTGTTATTAAAATTGCTCTAGGTTTCCATTGCAGGACTGATCAGCTCCTAACTCTATAATGCTATTTTGCCAAATCTGAGTTTCAGCGAAACATGGGAAAAAGAAGGGAACATCTGAGTTCAGATTGGTTGGCTTGCCTCTCTGCAGAGCCATGAGCCTTCTTTCTCTGTCTCTCACTTTATCAGAGCTTTATGGCAGCTTATAAAGAAAGGAATTGTCTCTTCTCTTCCTGCCAAGCTAAAAATCCCACTTTGGTATTCACAGTACAGTGATGACAAATGCATAGCCTGTGTTCTGAGTGTTCAGGGAAATGTAAAAACATGTCTAGTTGTTGTGAATGCTCACATGGTGATTTGTTGGTCTGATTCTTCAGGTCGTGAATTGGCAAGCACAACCCTCCCAGGATACCCTCCTCACGTCCCCCCTGCCGGACAGGGCAGCTACTCTGCTCCAACGCTGACAGGAATGGTGCCTGGTGAGTTTTCAAAAAAAAAAAAAAAAGCAGCATTTCAGAAGCAAAGCCAAGCGCTTTGCAATTGTTCTGCACTGATGCCAGCAAAAGACAGAATTGTACTGATGAAAGGAGAAAATTAGATGTAAAGCAGGCCCAAATAAATAAACAAACATCCCTCCAGTGTGAACAATAATCTCATCTTTCAGCCATCAACGCAGGTGATTCAGACCAATTTGCTGAAAAAGGCTCCGGCCCCTCCTAGTAGGGCAGTCTGCTGTATTCTTCATAAGATGCTGTCAAACTTTTCTCTCTTTCATCACATGAATAATTTTAATCAATGTCTTTGTTATGAACATGTCATATGCATTTGTACAACTGGACTGGGGTCAGCAACTGATGACCTTCAGGCCAACTCTACTTAACAAATTTTGGCATTTTGGTAGCAGGGCAGTTTGGTGGGAATTCAGTGGCAGGGCTATTTTGTGGTGGTTGATGGTATCTGGGTCTCACATTAGTAGCAGTTTGGTGGCAGAGAGAAGCAGCTGTCCTTAGGTTGGGCATCAGCCCACTTGTGACTGAGCTGTATTATTTGGGCTCCTAAAAGGCTACAGACCCCAGGACTAGACTAGTAGCTGGGATTTGTCAGGCTGAAAATGCTCAAGTTGTTACTTTTTAGCACTAAATCATAACAGTTTGAGTGTCTTTGGTGAGTTACCAATTTTTTTTCTCCATGTTTTTCCTGTTCGCTTCTTTTTGAACAAATTTCCACATTTTTGAGAGAAGACTAGCCTTGTGATGGAAGGGGTCAAGCACTAACTGGGAAATAGTGAGTGCCTTCAACTCCCTTGGAAGCCAGTGGGAGCTGAGGATGCCAAGAATCTGACAAGGGGTGGGATTAAGCCATTATGTATGTAATGCATGTTACATTATTGCCATTATTAGCACCTTTTAACTATGAATTAATAAATGGTTAATTAATCACTTAATTTATGACCTTTGATCCCATGGCAGTATCATATGCACTCCAGAAATATGGGCAGTGACAGAGCTAGCCAGATAAATATGATATTAAAGAGTATTCATTTGTATTTGCTCCTGACTTAAATATGTAAAGGCAGATTCAGATGTTGGTATAAAACAAAATTCTCTCTTTCACTTCAGAAGAACTATGCAAGTTTATACTACCCAAAGATTTTGCCCTTAGAATCTGTTACAGCTGAGTTAAATATTAAGGATATTGCTGTTTGCTAGAAGAGTGCTCTGCAGTATTGTGAGTGCAAAGCATTGAAAATGATCATGTGATTTAAAAATCATGAGACATTTAAAAATAATATTTTTGAGGTTCATTGTTTTGCCTTCTGCTATTTGCGCCTTTCTGGTTCTCTCTGGACATATTTTAAGCTTCTCTTCTCAGCCATAAAGATTGGAAAGCTACTTTAAAAAAAATGAAATTGAAATCCTGACAAAATCACATGACTCCAGCAGCTGAGAATTTAAGAGGAATATTAGAAGACATGCAATAAAGCACAGATAGTAATGCCAGCTCTGTCCCTAGAGGACGTCCAAATTCAGTGATCAGTTTTGAGTGTATTCAGGAACTTGTGTCCTAGTAATGCCAGTAAGGAATTAGGAAAAGTTTATTCATTTTAGACATTAATTAGTTTTAGGAACTCACTGCATGAAACGGGTAATTGGCAATAATATAGGGTGCCTATACACAAGTGTGGAGGCTGCTCCGACACACTGGAATTCCAGTGCATTGGAGCAGACTTGATTAATCAAATCTGCTGTAGCATGGCGATTGCCACGCTCCAGCAGCCTCCTGCGTCTCATGTGCCACTGTCCACGTGCTTAAAAATGGTGGCTGGGGTGCTTGAACTAAAGCTCATTTAATGAGCTTTAATTTAAGTGCCCCAGCCACCATTTTAAAGTGCGGGGACGCTGATACAGGAGACATGGCAGTGCTTTAATTAAAGTGACTCTTGGACCTTCTGAGTAAGGGATCCTACATTTTCAAAAGCACCGAGGGATTTGGAGAATCCAGCAGGGGCACTTTGAAGAGAACTGACTTTTAGAAAATGCTAAGCACCTGTGTGTTGAAAATCAGGCCCCTTTAACATGTCTGTAGCCGGGCATGCCAAAACTAAAAATCACAAGTCCATTTTTACAGTTCAGCTGGTGATGTTTCAAAGTGCTTCCAATACACACTCCAGGCATAGCCTTATTTTAGCAGTCCCAAATGTCTGCCAGAATACGCATAAGTAGAAGAGTTGTCCATTGGTCAGTAAGTTAGGTTGGGACATGGGTTCAGGTTCCTGCCCTGCCAAAGGTTTCAGGTAATTCACTTACATGGGATTTAAAAGAGCTCCTAAGTATGTTAGACACGTAACTTCCATGGAAAACACCTGTTCAGTTGCTTTTGAACATCCCTGTAGGTTTCTATCTATACCTTTAGATGCCAAAAACACTTTGAAAGGCTGTCTCTGTGCCTCAGTTTTTCTGTATGAAGACAATATCAGCAGCCAATGCCTCTCAAGGGGCAGAGAAGATAAATGCAGTAAAAATTAGATACTACTGTTACATATCAGTACCTAAGATAGAGAGGTATGGCAGAAGTTAAGACAGTATGGTATTTGGCAGAGTTTAGAAAGTGGAAATACAGTGCAAGTTCGGTGATGTAGGCTCATTTGAGCTGATTTTCCTGTGTAATAGAATTTATTTTTAACTACACCTAGGCTTGTGTGACCCATTAGATTGAATAACTGCACTGTTCCTCTCACTGGTTCCTTTAATAACAACCTTCTGCTCCCACGAGGTTGAAGGTCAGCTGCAATTCTTTTAGGTACTTCTTCTCATTTAAGTGAGAATTTGCTAACTAGCATCCAAAATACCTTCTCAATCCTCACTTGTCTCTTGTCACTGGTAGGGCCAGTTTCAGAGGCATCTTTAGCATTGAGCACAGTCTTGTGCAATTTGCCTTTGGAGTAGCTGACAGATCAGCATGAATGCCATATGCACATCAGTGCTTGTGCTCTGATATGGCTGAATTATTGTCCTGAAATTTAGACAAGGGGAACGTTTCTTTTACCAATTCTCTGGGATTCACTCCCACACCTGCCACTTCCCTCTAATAATTTTCAGAGCATATGTTAAAAATGTGTTTATTTGATAAGACCTTTAATTGTTAGCTATGAACAATTAACTAATTGTGTCAGCGAAATACTTAGAGACACCGGAGAAATATATACATGATAAGACATACATGATGTTTTGTTGCATGCTTGTTGTTGCTGACATTGCTTATGCTATTGTGAATAACCCAGTCCCCAGCTACAGAGTGTGTGCAGTATTCATCAAGGCTTCCTGGAATGCGTGTGCAGGAGGCTGGGGAAAAAAACACTCACCACTCTTGCTTTGCATGAGTGTTAAACCTGAAAATTCATGGATAAGAATATTCATCACTGGTATTCCAAAGGGGGAAATGGGAGCTTCGTATATTCAGCTCCCTTTTTATTTTCTACTTGTGCCAGTCCTAGCTGTCTCCCTGTTTTCCCCCTCTCTCTGATATCTTAAGCCCTATTCTGAAGCCTCATAACTTCATCACCACTGCGTTGCAAGTAGACCTGATCTTCCTGCTCTGTGCCACCGCCCAGGAGAAGCCCTCGGGACTCCTGCAACCCCTTTCCAACTTGCTCCTGGTTTTTTCCCACAATCTCCCTAGACTTCATTGTAGAGCTGAAAGTCTGACTATCTACCACTATCTACCTTACATGGAGTATGCTGGCTCCAGGTAAGGGTGGTGTCACACATTCAATTTAACATATACTAAGTGCTGTAACAATGCAAGCAGATGCATGTTCAAGCACTTTAGCAGGTGGCAGGTGCCCTTGTGATGTTGCAAAGTTGTGTCCTTTCAGGCAAGGCATATCTTTTAACACGCTAACTTTAATGGGAGCTCTGTTGCTTATTAAATATGTGTTAAATCTGGGTGGTATTAAAGTGCAAACACATTCTGAGCAGTCACCCAGTAACGTTTACTACAGTTTCTAAAATGCACAGCTCAGTGATTGTCAGTCCCAGCCACGGCACCGCACGATAATTCTGAACTGCCTCTGGTGCAGTCCTGGGGCTGGGACTGACAATCAGCTGATTATCAGTCCCAGCTTCCAGCATCACAAACAGGAGTCTTGAAGTGGCACCCAACTTTCAATTTGATCCTGGAGGAACCTGACAAGTGAAAGGTCCATGATCCTTCCCTCTGATACGTGTAGTTTTCCTCGTATCATTTGGAGGCTTGGTACAGCAGAGGGTCCCTGGCTGATGTCATGGATGGGTTGGGAATGTAGATTTCTCATATTATCTCTGTGGAGCAGTCTGATGATAGCTGAACATGTGTTACTTAGTATGATCTGAAGATACTCCTTGTACAAAAAGTCATAACTTTGCCATCATACAAGCACACTTAGCATATATTTTTCTGATCAAACACACAGTTGCTCAAGTTTTAAGTGCATTTAATACATGCTAAGTGTAACATGCAGCATGGCCCTAGGCAACAACACTCCAATGATTTGCAGTTTTTGCAAGTAAATAATGCATGGCACCATCCTAACATATCCCAACTTTAATATCTCAGAACATTTCAATCATTTGTGACTTGCACATGAATGTGTGACCAGGCCCTAGGAAATACTCTTTGCCAGACATTGATGTCACTCTAAGTCACCCACCTTCTTCTTCAAGGAGAAATTGTGGCCTTTAGCCCTCAACTTAGAATTTTACCTCCAGGGTGGCTCATAACCATCTAACTTCAGTTAGAGAATTTTTTAATTAATTGCTCTGGAAAAATAAAGTTCTTTACTGTACTTATAAACCACAGAATGAGAGTCTGGCAGAGTTTAGGTTTCTCAAAAGCACACATATTCCTTTCAAGACATTAACAGCCCCTACACACCTGTTTCCCAGACTGCACTCCCAGTTATTGCCATGACTATCACTCCCAGAAAAGTTGTCTGTAAAAA